ACAATCGGATGCAATAGATAGGCACCGTAGGTCAGACGAGCGAGCACGTGGAAACCACGCCAAGCGAGTATGTCGCGAACCGGAGCTGATTGATTACGGTTTGTTTGTTGTTGTTGGAGAAACGAATAAGACGAGGAGAATCGCGGTATGATGGAGAAGGCAATGGGAAAAGGGTTTTGTAAAGCCAGGTTGTGTTTTTTGTAAGCGATGAAATGTGTATCTTAGTCTCTCTCTCTCGTTTTGGGCAAATCTGTAACAAAACAAAAGTCTAGATGCAATGCGATCTTAGCGAAACAGCCACTAAGGGCCCAAATGTTTACAGTTCATGATGGTAAAGTAAGCCGGGGTTGCATATTAGGACTCATATAGGAAAGTTCACGGTGGAGTAAACAGCAATCTCTCTTTTTTAAAGCGGGTCTTTAGCATTATGAAATGCCAGATCTTGATGACGGAAAGTTTGCGGCTTCAGGGACCAGTTTTGCATGCCTACACTTCAATAAAAGACCTGCTTCAAACATTCGGAAAAATACTATCATAATGAACTGAATTAAAATTTTACCATGACTTAAAAGAATTTTCAGAAAGAAACATGGTTGTCATGTGACCCAACCAGAAACGGGTCAAGTTGGGTCGCACTGGTGGGGTTTCGAACTCACGACCCATGAGGCGAAAATTTGGTAAAGCAATCCATTTGTCCACGTAAATGACAAAATCGATGGTCTGCTTGGTATGTAGTTTTCAAAAAATGATACAACGCACGAAAGAACTAGTAAAGTGAATATAAATTCCGAATTATTTCATCCTCTCAGCACCTAGAATGAGATGAAATAATTCAGCAGAAATTCGTTCGACATTATCAGCTGAATGCTTGAAACGAGTCCATAGCAGAACCCAGCACACACACACACACCGCAGATGATGAATAGACGTGTTCTCAATCAGTTGATTATCGACTGATCGTCATTAAAATTTGCATGCGACAAAATAGGGTTAGAGCGCGGGGCAAGAACCAGGCTATTCGGTTTGGATCATTTCATCCACAGAAGGGAAGATAAGAGGTGTGTGGGATACACCCGAAGGGCTAAGATAGTTGTCGTTGGTCTAATTTAGTTGTGCGCGAGTGTAACAGGACCCGGTTCACTTTACTTGACTTCTTTAGTCAAGAACCGATCACGTACAGCATACGGCTAATGATGACGTTACACAGCAGTCCGGCTGAGGACTGGCGCTTGCCCGAAGTTCCACTGAGGATGTTGCCTAGCTTGACTACGAAACGTCGGCGAACAACACTTCCAGCTGGGAGAACACATCAACATCAAGATCCGCATGGCGAGCTACAATCATTCCACATCATTTCAATGACTGCATTGAAAATAAATTAGGAATAAATTACCCTAAACGGCGAAGGATTCATTCGCTCAAGCCTTGTTCTAGTTGTTAGTTTATGTTGAGGTGTTCACGATTAACAGATTTCTTTTACTCATCAATAATTAAAACTGCAGAGATATCTCAGAGATTTGGCATTTGAGTGTACTTCGTGTTCTGTAGAGATCTTGATCACGGTTATCTGTTTTTATTCTCTCTCAGATTGTTGTGAGTTATCAATCGTTGTTTTTGGGAAGTTGCTTGGCTGAACAAAAAGGCTTCCTTAGCTGTGTTAGAGTAACTGTACTGCAATGTAAAAGAAACCTGTAGGACACAAATTGTTTATGTCGACATAAATCAGGTGAGCGTAGCAGCGTGCGCTAATCTTCTTTCGTCTCTCATCAAAACACCTTTGGGTTGACACAATCGTGCACGGGCTTTGTTTGCGATGTTTCGGCTACAATTCTGATCGACCAATGAGGAATGAGTGGATGACACAAGCTAAAATAGATAGATATAGATACAAATATATACACAAATTCCCGGAATATATCAGCAACACATTTTGAATGCAAAACGCAGTTTAGCGAAATAGCTTTTTTTCTGACTCATCAACTGGCTAATACAAGTCATTTTATATCACACATTATTTTGTATAGAAAACAGGGCAACAAAATTAATGATTA